TGTTTGGTTTTATCATGTGATGGGGCAGGACTGCCCTCAGGGTTTTCTTGACTGTGATGTATGGAAGCAGATCAGCAGGTCTTCTCCCTCAGAGCCACTGGGTGGTTCAAACTGGCAGCTTTCAGTTAGCAGCTAAACACAGAATCGTGTGTGCCACCAGGGGCCTTCTCTTTGTGACAGGCATTAGCAATAAGGAGAAAATAAAATGGGTTTCCTGTTTACAGCAAACCCCAACGCATGGTGAAGTGAAAATGTGGGTCAGGGGCCTTTCCCCTGGTCTCCTATAATCCTCTGACTCCACTCTTTCCTTGGCATTTCTTTTGTAACACCTGCTGCTTTAAATCCCCCACTTTGCATTGCCATTGGACTTTTAGGATCCCTCCTTATCTTTGACTTTGTCATTGAAGGATGTGACTTTAATTAACTTTTGACCTGCAGGTCTGCAGTTAAGCTGTCCATTCTCTGATGTTCCTTTTATCTTGTGCCTTTTTAAGGACAAAGCCAGTTGTGCATTTTAGCCATTTCTGGCCATTCTTAGATGATAACAACTCATAAGGCAGGTGTTGCGAGGGCTATCATTAAAGAAACTTCTAATAAGGATGGATTTCTCAGACTGGGTTTTTCAGGAAAATTCAGCCTGTTCATATTTCATTTCAATGTCATCTTTTAGTGGAGGCCAGAAACATGTCCCTAGCAAACCCAGTCTAAGCATAGTTTTCTCATCCTGAAAGTGGGGGCTTCTTGCAGGGTTGTGGTGAGAATTAAGTGTCAGAACTCCCAGTCTTCAAGAAGATCTCAACCAATTAGGGGGCACAGAATACACTCAAACCAAAAATACCAAATCCTCTGCCGTCAAGTTGATTCCAACTCATAGCAACCTTATGGGACAGAGTAGATGTGCCCCACAGGGTTTCAAAGGCTATAAATCTTTACAGAAGCAGACTGCCTCATCTTTCTTCCATGGAGCAACTGGTGGGTTTGATCCACTGACCTTTTGGTTAGCAATCCAATGCTTTTACCAGTGTGCCACTAGGGCTCCTGAGAATAGCCCCAAATGTGTGTAATACAGAGCAAGCAAGAGTCATAAGGCCCATACAAGAGGATTCAAATGAAGGAGAGATTGGCTCATGTAGGGAAAATCGAAGAGGATTTCGTGTGAGACATGGTATTTAGGGTGAGTGATGAAGGATTTTAGGACACAGTAGTTGCCACTTGTAGATGGTGAGTGTTAACGAGTGAGGAAGGGAACAGTTACCAAAGCAAACTGAACACAAGAACCAAGTCAGAGGTAGAAAACAGCGGGGCCCAGCTGGGGATCGTCAGATGAAGTAGCTTCACTAGAATGTGCCACACGCGTGGGAGACCGTGGACTGTAAAGGGAAGGGGAGTGGAGCAGGCTGCGGAGGGCCTGGTTGGCCTGGAGATGGCAACTGTCTCAGTCCGGTGGACTAGACACGGAAGCTCTGCTGCAAGGGAGTGAGCTGGCCACAGCTGGGATTTAAGGAGGACAACTGGGGAGCTGTGTGAAGGGTGAAGTGAAGTGAGGAGAGAGAGGACACTAGTCAGGGGTGCTGGATTTTCTCTAGAATAAAGACAAGGAGGGCTCAATGCTGAGCAGTGGCTCTGGGGATAGAGATAAGGTCAATGTGTTGAGCAAATATGAAATTCATTTGACAACGAAATGAATAATTGCTTCTCTTAAATCATTTATTTTTAATAAATTAACAATTAAATAAAAATGATAATCAATGATTGAAAATTCACAAAACACATCAACAAAGAAAGTCTTTGGTTGGTATATCTAATCACATTCTACAAAGCATGATATTTCAATTGCAACGCAAAGGACCAGGAAACGATGGCTGAACACTATAGAAAAGCCATGCACGTGAGAATAAGGTGCTTGCCCATTCTGAGTCTTAAATACTTGGTGGCTGAACAGGGCTATAGAAAATGTGGCAGAGACAAGAGCCCTGGTCCTGCATCCTGGGGTTCTATGACTCGGGAGTCACTTTAAAACATGCTGGAGCTGTTTCCTCCTCTGTAAAACGAGGATGCCACCTTGCTTATATCTTCCAGCTCTGACATTCCATGAATCAATGGATTTGTTATAGATGACTTCTGGAAGTTTCCAGTGGTGTCCACAGCAGACCAAGCACTTTTTTAAGCAATGGAATAGCACAGATTATGTAAATTGTCTAAACTTTTCTATTGGGTTTAAATGATCCAGAAAGAGATGTACCATCCAGTGAGCTCTAATGGTTTAACCATAGTTCTTACCACCATAATCACCAGGCCCTAAGTATAGAACACCGAGGAGGACCCTAGAGTGATTTCTAAATGAGCTCCGCTCTCATGGATATATTATCAAGGGTTTGGTCTACGTGTAACCACAGTTCCTTTTGATAGTCCCTTTAAACTAACACAACTCAATACATAAAAATCCAAGCTTGCAAAGGAAATTATTTAAAGAGGTGAATTGCATAAAGTAATATTTTTAAAGGTTTATCCATTGATCAAAAATTTTCCTTCAAGTCTTCTTTAAATAATTCCCTCCCTTGTATAGTTAAGTAACACACACTCCTTACTTTTCAAGAGCACTCTGCTACATTTCAGTGGAAAAGCCCTGCTTGTCCACACAGATCATAACCTAATGCAGGCAAGTGCACGCCTTCTGAACAGACAAGGGATCCTCCACGCCTTCCCCAGCAACGCATTAAAGTGAGCCTAATATGGATGGCATAGTGCCTAAGGCATTTGACTGCTAACCAGAAGGCTGGCAGTTCAAACCCACCAGCCACGCCTCAGAACGAAGACTGGCCAATCTACTTCGTAGAGACACTGCCTGGGAAACCCAAGGAGAGGTCGCTATGAGTCAGAACCGACTCAGTGGCAATGAGTTTGGTTTTGGAGTTTTAATATGGAATTTACTCTATGGGATCAAATTGATAAAATGGCAACTCAGAAGGTTAGCTAAGAAGGTTAGGGGAAAGTGAACTTATGGCAATGGGGAAGAATGAATTGGAAAATGAGGGTGAGAATGGTTGCACAACTTGAAGAATATAATTAATGTTACTGTATTGTTCATGTAGGAATTGTTGAATTGGTGTATGTTTTGCTGTGTATGCTTTCAATGATAAATTTAAAAAAAAAAAGCTTACTATGAAAATACTGAACTAAGTGTTATTTTCATTTCACACCAGATAGAGTGTAAGTAATGTTATTCAATTGACATCTGTCTTTAAAGCTCTGAAATGTACAATCACCTGATCGTTTTGCCCCAAACTTGAGTTCACCTAAACTCTTGAGAAGGAAATGCGCGTTTTGGAGAAATCCTCTGGGGAGTGTGCTTGTGTGTTTCCCAGGACTCTGCTGGGTCAGTAGGGAAATTGACTGAATGCAGTTTCAATAAAGGACTTGGAAGGAAAATTTACTGCTACCGATGCATGCATTTTGCTACAAGTGTGAATGGCGTGAGGACTTTGCTATTTTGGGGGAAGGAGATTGTGAGGGACCCTCATCCAGCTTTCTTGTGACCACAAGCCATGGAGGCACATCTCAACCTTTCATAAATAAAACAGCTTCTTTCTAGAGAAGCAGGAAATTTAAATTCCTCTATTGTGTAGAAACAATATTCCTAATCTTAAATCCATCAGTGTCCTACCTGTGGTTTGTTGTTGTGGTGGTGGTTTAGAAGGTTTTAAAACAATGTACTTTCGAGAACTTTAGGGAAAGAAAATGTCCAAGAGACAATCAAATGAAATTATTTGTAATTTGGGCTCAACTATGGGATTCATCTTTGAGTCTAAGCACCATCAAGGTGGCGCGTGTGGTGGTGAGTTCTGCCAGACCCACGTCATTTCATTGACTTGTTGGCCACCACCCCTCTCAGTTTCCAGTTGAGCTGACACAAAGGCAAATTACAAATCCATGAGAGTCTGGTATTACATTCCTATTGTCACACTAAATGTTTTGTTTAAGCTTTCTCTTTGTTTAATGAGTCATTAAAAGATAATGTTTGGATTTACATGATTATATTTGGATTTTACAGTCTTTAATCAGCAGAAATTGACACTGAATGAAAAGTTTTAATACCTGACAGGTGAACCTAAGGGGTTAATGCACCTATTAGAGATATTTTCTGTAAGGAACTAGGACGTTTAGTTCAAAAATAATCGTGTCCTTTCTTCTTACAGATGTTATCCAGCATTTGGCTTTAAATGTAACATATGCACGAATGATTCAAGACAAATAACACCTTGCGTTGGTATAGAGTTCAAAGGACGCAAGATCTACATGTATCGGCTGCGTCCCTGGACTCACACTTCAGGATGTTCTTCTCTCCACAGATTTTCCCACAAGTCCCTCTGACTGAGTTCTGTAGGGGCTTTCTTTTCATCCATCAGCCTTAAAATCTATTTTGTTGACCTATTGGGAGCTCTGGTAGTATAGTGGCTAAGGCACTTGACTGCTAACCAGAAGGCTGGTGGTTCAATAGCCACTCCCCGGAAGGAAGATGGGGCAATCTACTTCCGTAGTGATACTGCCTTGGAAACCCAAGAAGGGGTCGCTATGAGTCGAGTCCGACTCGACGGCACATAACAACAACAACATTTTGATCACATGTACCTCATTTTTTTAAAAGAAACTTTAAACAGTTCTAAAGGAAGCATTTTCTTCATCCATCTGAGACCCCTTATGAGAACATTCCTTTCTTGTAACTAAAGAATATTGAGGAGAACAGTGATGTTCAAGCCTTTTTTTACTCATGGATTTTTTCAAACAGCATCTGTACGGACCCGATTATATACAGGAGAGAGGCAGGCAACTCTCCTGGAGCCTGGAGGCGGGACACTCCTCATCACCTCCTGGAGGCCTCTGCAGCTGTCTCGGAGCTTCCTCCTATCATTCTTCGAAGATGATTCATCAAATTGACTCTGGAACAAGCAAAAGGCTGTCAAAAGCCAGTGACTTCTGACCAAATGCCACTCAGAGAGATGACAGCCTGAGCCACACTATGGAATCTGGTGGCTTGGGCCAGGGCAAGGGACCTGGCAGTGAGCAAGTAGAGTCGTGTCCTCCAGGCCTGGCAGGTGAGACCCTTGAGGGAAGAGTCCGAGAAGGTTTCCCTGAGCAGCCACTCCTGTTTGCTGCAGGCCTTGGTCCCCCAAGACCTTGACCAAGAAGTTGATATACCTCATGGCCAGTCGAAGCGTTTCATTTTTGCTCAGCTTTTTGTCTGGAGGGTGAGTGGGGATAAGCTTCCTCAGTTTGGCAAATGCACTGTTGACATTCTGCTGCCTCCACCGCTCCCTGGTGTTTGTGAAGAGCTTCCTGGTCATGTCTGGGATCCTGAGACGGGAAAGAAAAGGCCCCAGTGGCCAACATCAGACAGCATGCTGGTGGTATCACACATCCTGCCCAGAATCTGAGATGTTAGTGCTTCTCAACCCAGATTTTAGGAAGGTAATTTACTCTTGGTAAGAGAAGAAAATGTGGCAAAAGGCAGAGCAGGCTAAGGACAATGCCCTTCAGCCTTCTTCTCCTTGGCTGTTTGAAGCGTCCAGCTTCCAAGTTGCTTTATCCCGATAACCCCTTACTTCGTTTATAACCAACCCTTCCTAATTCTTCCAAATCAGATACAATCTAGGTTTGAGTATATGCATGAATAAAAATAGATACATTTAGCCAGTAAGAAGTTGGATTTGAATTA